TAGCTGTTAACCCTGCATGCAGATCATGTTGGAACATTTCTGCGGTGAAATGTCTGCTGTACAACCTGTTTTTATATGCTCAGACATCCCATTACATTATTCATTACAGAGACTAGTGAGCAGGAAAGGCCACATCACTTGCCAATTTAAATGCGAATTTTGTCAACAAGATGACTCGCAGTACTTTCGCAAAGTTCACGATCTTGAGCTTAATTCAATTTTTTTTTCTCCAACATCAATGAATTTATTTTGTTACCAAGATTTAATTGCCGATCTGAGAAATAGAGACTGCAGTTCCCCTTTAATGTGTAACTCTGGGATCTATTCTGGACCTGAGGTGCTATCTGCATGGAGTTTGTAGGTTTTCCCCATGTTCACATGGGTATGTGTGTGTTTGTGTCTGTGTCTGTGTCTGCCCTGCAATGGACTTGCATCCCATCCAAGGTGCATTCTGCGTTGCTCCCATTGCTTGCTGGGATAGGCTGCAGCTCTCCTGGGACCCTGTGCTGGATAAAGTGGTTAGAAACTGGATAGATGGAATTTCGTTTTGCATTTGTCTATTATTGAGTGTACTATTACATTTGGCTTTAAAATTTCTTAAAAATCACTCATAACTAAAACTGTATATTCATTACAACTTCAAGTAAAAAAAGAATGAGATGTTAACAGGTGTATAAATCAGTTCAATAGTTCACTTAGCTCAAGATTGTTCTTATTATTTGCACAATACACATTAAAGCTACTTTTAAAGGAAGGTTTTCTAGTACATAACCTCAGAGTCTTGCTCCATAAAATTGAGCAAATGTAAACTGATAACATGCACTGGGAGATATTTGCCTCTCATTGAAAGATGAATCAGCAGCACCTGAGTCATAGTACCTTCAGAAAAAAAAAACGTGAACTGGAAGAACTATTTTACATCACATTGTAAACAGCCTTTATTTCAATAATAAAAAGTATTACTATATCATACTATATTCAGAAATATGCAATTTAAAGTGTATAAGCAGAAATATAAATATGCAAATGAATAAAACAAGTTTATAAATTTATTATTATACATTATTTATGAATAACTGCCACATATCATGTTTTTAATACAGCACTAAATATTTTCCCTGAAGCAAGAACAGAAAGTTTCATCAATCTCATTTTGTGCACAGTTACTATATTGACTAACAGAAATACTTACTGTAAACTATACTTCTAAAGCCCAGAACCTAACCCCCCGTTTCACATTAATCCTCATGGGAAAATAAATAATTAGGTAAGATTTAACAGTAAAGTTCAAGACAGGGTCTCATTTTTCTTCTCTTCTTTGTCAATCCTCTCTAAAATGCTGCTCACAACCTACACTTTAACTGATTAATTTGCTCTTTAGAACCAAAACACTGTCACCAGATAAAAAAGAAAACTAAACACAGGAGAAAATAATGAAATCATGCTTGCTTTCTCTTGAATACATAAAGAGTTGAGAACAGCATTTGTCTCCAGTATTAAGATGACAAACCATTCACTGCACAATGACAACACAAAATCCACCAAAGGCATGAAGTAATGCAGCAACAAGAAAATTGTTCAGGACAATTACTGCAGATAATGGATAATGTATTTGCAAACTATTCTTTACATTAGCACTTAATTAGGCAATTTAATAACATTTTATCTCAAACGTATACTTACAGCATTCTAAAAACTGCTTCAGCCTCTCAAACACTGCATTAAGGAAGCCCTGCAAAATAAAAAATAAATCAGCAAACTATTTTATGAACATTCAAAAATATTGGAAGTTTTTTAAAAAACATATTTAACAGAAAACTCTTAACAAAACATTTTAAATCAGTTTCCCTAGTGATTAGTGTCAAAACACTTGAGTGTGAAGACAACACAAATGATACATGTTTTGCACCCAAAAGGGGTGCAGTGAAAACTTAGCTCCTTCATTTAGTTTGAACTACAAGTATTTTTAAAACTCTGGCAGATTTTTGAAGACCTACACATGCTGAAGGTTAGAACCTGCTTGTCAGAACTACTTAGTTTTAATCATGCAGCCAGAAGCCAAGTTTTCTTCAAATGAGACAAAATATAAGTCAAACCAAACAGTCCTGCTGCTTAACAAATGATGCAGTTACAGTACACAACACCTTATCAAAAAGTCTGGAGTGTGCCTTCTGTAAAGAAACCCAAATTTTGAATTGAAGAATGAGAATGAGAATATTTACTAGAAACAAAAGCTTAATGTGTTAATCTGGTAAACTGAATTGAAAAAAAAATGGTTTGGAGCACCTGACCAACACTATTGTTTCTTACCAAGCCTGAATATTTTTTTCCCCAACAGAGGGCTCAAAAACCATGTTTTCATGCATTAGGTTTCCCGGAAGCCACGTCGCCAATGATCATTGGTGTCTTAGTGTCTTGTAAATTATAGCTGTCCAAATAAGACAACTATAATTTGAGTGATTTAATATTTATTATAAATCAAAATTCACAATTCACCACTCACTAGGAACTCTAAATTCACTATTGCTTAACTACTTCATTTACTAACTTTTGTTAACCAATGAAGCCTTAAAAAAGATCATTGCGAGTCAGATGTTATATTGGTGACAGGTGATAGTTTCTTTTTACTTTATTATCCTAATTGTTTACTTGAAATAGTTACTGATAAAAATGCATACGGCCTATTTTTGATGTGAGAGTAACAACGACAGACTTTTTTGGTCAAATATGATGAGGCAACACACACAAATCTATTAAATTATTGATTTTCTTGCTTTTCAAATGATCTGAACAGCAATATCACCCCTTGTATGGTAAGCCCGTCAGAGTTCATAGTTTAGTGTTATTATATATCTTTATTGTCTATCCAAAAGGATAGAAAAGGGGCTTTGGAATCACCATAAAAACTACAAAACCAAACACGCAACACAAAACACACATTGCAAATAAAAAATAGCCCTAGCCATACACAATATGTATATACACTGCAGAGGGCAATCTGTTAGAAAATCCTTAATCCATTTTATAAGCATAACATCAAAACCCAATAGTTGTTCCAATCATATATGGATATGGATCATACTTAAATACTTAACTAAAACAGATAAAAAACAGGCATATGGCTTTGCCTGTTGCAGATGACTAAAGTCAAAGCAGCATCTTCAACCCTCTACAGAAAGTTCTTTTGCAATTGAACAAATTGCAAGGGATCTGGACGATCTGCAATCGAGAGGATCCCAAGAGTGTCACTGAAATAGCCTGGTTGTGCGAAATGAAAAGAATAAAAATGAGTCCGTAGCAGGTTTCTAACACAGACATTTAACCTATTACTTTTGAAAACCATAACTGAGTATTTTGCGTTCAAAAGATAGATCCAGGCAAAGAACTAGGATAGATTTCATTTGATGTGAATAAAAAATAAAGTTCCTTAATGATGCATTTTTAATAAAAATGAATTATAAGTCTTTGGGACACTGAAATGTTAAATGTGAAATGAGATGTTCCTTCAATAATCACTATTTTGTTTTGATTTCTAAAATAATATTATGTCAGAGGATTCACTAAGAAAACAAAATGGGTGTTTCTGTGGTTTATCAGTAGATGTGCAAATGGAGAGCACTGGTCTACGCTTAAGTTAACTTAGTTTTGCATTATATGTACGATAACGGATACATGATGAAACTCTATATTCATGCAGTCTCGGGCAGGCTTTAAAACACTCAGGCCATACAAATGAAATGGGATAAGTCTGGTCCTTTGACATGGACGTTTGGTGTACTCTTGAGAAACCAGAGTAACTATGTCACATATAACCCTCTCATTATACACAGCAAGCCCCAACATAAATGGAAAACATTAAAGCATTCTGGAAGAGTTGAGAAATTATCACCAGCCAAGTCAATGTAATAAATAGCCCCACAGCTATAACTATTTTATTTTGTACAGCAACAGCATTATTTCACCCCCTTTTTCATTTTCAAGGAGATTATGAGCAAAACCTAATCACTGCCTTTTTATATATGCTGAACGTTTCAAGCAGGTATTTTGCAAACATTGTATAGTAAATTCTGGCATATGATAAATGCACGGAGAAGCCGTATTACACAGATCGCACTGGAAAAAGATATTCATAAACATCAAAACAAAAAATGCCTTTGTTCTTAATATAGGTCATATAGAAATGTATTACTTTCTTTTACATTGCACTTAAGCGCATTAACTATTCATAAAAAGGATTTACAGAATATGTCCTGCAATATTTGTGTAAGGACTGCATTTTTGTTATTTTCTGGTTTCTCTTCAAATTACATTATTAGTTAATTCTAAATTTAGCAAACACAATTACGCTGTCTTCAAAGCACCTTCTCATTCTACATAACCTCAATGTTTATGGAGAGGGAAATCACAATTAGAAGTCTTTTAATAAATCAGATGGAGAAAAGTGATTTTAATATTCTGGTTGGTTGAGTTTGTGAATTGAATAAAAAATAGGTTATGGTTTATGGATGCATCAAAAGCTTGTGGAACAATCCTGATTGTTTACAGCCTTCGCTGTATAACTTCAATATGTCAGTTGTAGCACCAAGGCTATTATTATGTTTACAACTAAGTATGCTTTTCTTGAACAGAAAATCACCCTTGCGCTGCTTAATTTCTTTAAGTCAGCTTGTTCGAAATGCAGCTAACAAAACAATAAAAAACAGAAGATCATAAATTGGACTCATCATGTCATCTCCAGTGATTACACACCCACTTCAACACCTTAGTCTACCTTTCCAAGAAGACACATCCAGACTAGAATCCCAGATGTAGGTCACCTCTCATAAGTCCACTGACAGGGAAAGAATGATGCACAAAATGACGACATCATGATCAATAACCACCGATGATGACAACTTAAAAGACGCTGTACCACAGTTTGGGATGCTCTCTAAACCCAACTCTCCTGGCAGATTGACAGCAAAAAGAATCCCATGACTGTGTCCACCAATGTCTGCAACTAAAACAACTTAGCTATGCACAACTACTGGGCTGTATGGACTACGGGATTATACATATACCAGAATTCTTTGCAAGAAGAACAAGTGACAAGTTTCGGTTGTAATCAACAAAACACAGCTGGAGTTCTGTTGATACTACTGAATATTCACAAATATTCAAACTAGAAGCAACAAAATACAGATGACCAGATTTTGAATCTCAAGCTGTAAATGTTCCCAAGTCTTGAGGTTTCATGAATGTTTTCCAATAAAGTAGATGGATTTAGCAGGAGACTAACAGAATCTCTTCTTTATTCTTTTAAAGAGAGTCCTGGCCAAGCATTCTGTTTCAGGTGATCACATTAGAATACTCAAGAAGTAAACCCATTTCCAAACAAGTATGTATTTGATCAAGATTAGTTTAGGAAAGTAACTGAATGCTTGTCTTTCAAGCATATGACTATGGATGTAATCTATAAACTGACTAAAACCCAAGTGTTAAACTTTTAACCACGTTCTGTTAAATATCTTTTGCAATCCCTGAGTGAATGATCATCCCTGTGTGCCACAATAGATTGATTTATATTTTCTTTTACTCGTGTATTGGTTTATTTTGTACATATTAGTACTAAACAAAATTAATAATAATAGAAACAGTATATTTTATTCTCAGATTCAACTTGTACATGCCAGTGTTGTTTTGATTGATTTATTCCTTGTTGTCATAACTGCTTTAACTGTCCCGATTTCTAATTCTTTCAGTCAATTCAAACCACCAAATCACAACACATAACACAAGCACAATTATGTTATTGCTGCAGGGCAATAGCAGATGTGAAAAACATTTTGGATCTTATTCATCACAATATCCTATGTTTTTTGCACAGGTTTATGACACTTAAAAAGTATTCTACATGCAGCACGTGAGGCTTAACCAATATAAACTACCAACTGAAAAATAGAAACAGGGATTTATTAAGTTACCTAAACTATCTGTATGTTGAAATTAAGCTCCCATTTTCTTCTTATATTGAAAAACTCTGAACATACCACTTTATTCTTGAAGTATCTATAGTACACAACTTGTTTGACATCAATGCCTTTTAGCATCTGCACCTTCACCTAATGCATGCCACACAGAAAAAAAAACGGTCTTCAATCACCAGACAAAACAAAACATTTTATCATGTAAACCCTTACTTGTAAGGTCTAAAAGTTTGAGAAACGCAACATGAAACTTAATTCTTTAAATTAACTGCCATCTTTTATTTTTGCAGAGAAGTGCTGATATGGATGAGCAAAATAGACATGTTAAAGAATTAATTTGATTTATAAAACAGTGTGAAACATACACAACAGGATCAATTATGTCCATTAGTCACTGGGACTTACTGTACAGCTATAGTTTACCTCAGACCATATAAGTATGATAAGAATACTAGTACATTATAAAGACAGGCATGATTCTGGGAGCTGCAAAAAAACATGTTTCTTGGTTCTGTAAACTGTTGCATGCCCTTTTGAGGTCACTGAAAACCTTGAACAAATTAGCTATGAACAAATCAATGTATTAATGGCTATATTCAGGTGGCTATAGATAAAAACATAACACTTCAGCATACCAGTAATTAAGCAATGGAAGAACCTAACAAAATAATGTTGATAGCCTTCTTAAAGAAGTAGTGACAATCTACTGACAGTCCAATTGCTGACTAACAAGTGTCTATATCCCATCATTTAATGAAGCATCAAC